CTATGGGCACAGCATCAGGGTTCAAACACAACACTGTCCCCTTTAGCTGGTTGCAATAATCTAACGCGCTCTAATAACTGTTCTCTTCTGCCTTCACTTCCCTCTTCCCTTTTGATGCCTGTAGCAGCACTGTGGACAGTTTAGCATCAGCCCCAGTGCCAGGCAGGCTGGTCACACAACATGGCACAGCACCATCGCTCACAGAACACAAATGTGCCAAGGCCTTCACCACCGCATACCATAACCTCTGAGTATCCAGTTCCACCCCAAGTACCCCAGCTCTGACATCCTGTCTGCAACAGAGGCTGGGAAGAGTTGTCAGAAATCCAGGAGATGAATGAGCAATGATTTATCCATTAGTGTCTGTTATTTAAACAAACATCACCCCACCCAAGCCTCCTGACGTTTGTGCAGACTCTGAAGCAATGAAGGGACTTCACAGAAAGCATTCTCTCCACATCCCCGAGAATCAATAATCCACTTGAGCAGTTCACTTGGATTCTATTTTTAAAGCTGTTTTTACAGATTACCAGACACAACAGTTTTCCTTCCTAACATACACCTTACTTAGAGAAGTGCTTGCAGAAAGTTGGAAAAAAGCATTATGAATATACAGCAAATAGCACCAACTAATCTAATTATATACTTAATAACTCCTTAGCATTCCAGAGAAGCAGTGGATTATATTTGACAGAGGAGATGTACTGCAAGAAGAGCAATCTTGTGCTCGGAGCAGAGCTGGCCTTTCTGCAGTGCATTGCTGTCACAGGGATATGCTCTATGCCAATGGCAGCACAGCCACAGACCTGGTTGTCACAGCTGAGAAGCATTAGTGTCCTCCTGGCACAGGAAAGTATTTTAGGAAAACCTTCAAGAGTCTGATGTCATGTAAGGTACCCTAAATGACCCTATAGACACTTCATTAAAAAGCCAAACTCTACAGCACAGAAACAAGTAGGATTGATGCTCTTGTACTATTGCATATCAAAGAGAATCCTCTCCAAGCAGGTACCAGAAAAAAGACATTCAATAGCAAATTTTATGAGAGAAGGATAAAAACCAGGTAGTTCAACAGTTCCTGAAATCCCAGTGGTGGTCAATAAATCGACTTGTGCTTCACATTATATGAAGAGGCTGTACTTAGCAAATCACTGTGTAAGCTGCCTCAATAACAGCACTCCTGCTATCAAGTTTACTTGCAATGAGTCCAACAAAGAAATTAATTTCTTAGATGACAAGAAAAGGTTATCTAGAACGGGGAAAACACAGGAGACAAAGATTTCCACTAATAAAACAAATATCAGACTCTGAGCTGAATTTGAAGCTATCTTTTTTTCCTCTGAAAGGTTTTAAATCCCTGTAGCCCAAACACTAGAGCTACAAAGAAAACATCCTACAACCTGCCCTGCTAAAAACACAAGAAAAGCAGAATGAGCCAGAGCTCTTTTCAGTGCGTGAGTTACTCCCTCAGCCATGTGCACTCTGCTCCTCAGGCAAGGCCCAGAATGAGGAAATGTACTGCAACCCAAGTTCCAGACTTAAAAGCAAACCTCACTTTGAGCTACTAGTTGATTTACTCTCCAAAAACTTCAGTACAATATAATTTCAGAATTCAGGACATGCCCTTTTCACAAGTACAAAGGTGTTTCTCATGACTCCAAAAAGTAACAAAACACACACCTTCCTAGTCTGATCTTACTGATTTTATTGATCTGTTTATTCCCGAGAGATAGTCCCATCTTATTTTCCAATTATCAGTTTTTTCATAAATATTTCCACAAACAGGCACCACTTTCCTCTGTGCCCCCCTTTTTTCCTCTCGCTATAATACACAGCCTTCAATTATTGCTCTCATTTCATTCTCTTCACACTTTTCTATGCACATCAAGTGAGCAAACTGACCTGGTTTATCCACATGCCCACAGGAAGTCAGCCACAAACATGAGACACAGAGGTTTGATTTCAAAAAAGTCATTATAAAAAAAAAAAAAGCAGATTCCCTGTTTCTGCTGCCCAAAGATATGCTCCCACCAGTTCTTATAGCAATTCAATCCATCTGACATCCAAGAACTCTATGATCACATCACACAACTGGCCTCTATGCTGAATGGCTTGGCAGCAATACTGCACCCACAGGACCAATTTCTATAGATTTGGGGTTAGTTGTAGAAGTTTGTTGAATTTCCCTATTTCGTGGCTGCAAAGATTAACATCAAATTTTAATCAATTATAAGCCAAAGCCATGTAGTTCACCTGAAATAATAACCCAAAGAGATTTAGACCCTCAGCTTCTGTCCTGGCTGCCCAAACCAGTGACAAAGGCCTTCAAGGTCACAATCACCCGTTTAGTGCCATCCCTAGCAGTTGAGCAGGGGACACCTCTAGGAACCACCATCCTGAGAGGGGATTCCTGCAAGCTGAAGTCCCACGGGAAACCGTGACTCTGCTAGGACATTTATATCTTGAGTGAGTGGCTTGAACTAGGTCAGATGGGAAAGGGTTAAGATCTAGGTTTCGATTTCCATGGTGATTAGAAGAAAGAGCTTATCTGAGGAGCTGTTTGGACCATTAATGCTCCTTTTTAGTATCCTTTGGAAAACACAGGCTATTTGAGAGGGCAGAGGGAAACAATAAGAGGGTGTGGCTTTTTTTAATCTGGTGACTTGAGTAGCTATAATCTTGTCTATGTGACACTGATCTCAAAGCAACAAAATAGCCAATACAAGATCCTGGCTAGAACAAAATGGAGAGGATAATATAACATTAACGACATAAGTTTACAGAAAATATATTCTTGCACTAGCATGATTTTTAATTGAAAGTTTATTGCTAATTAATAGCACAGATATAGCAGGTTTTTGTAAGGCAGTTGACTTGATGCAAAATGACATTTGATTAAGAAACTCAAAATCAACATGACACATCAAGTGGGCTAGAGACTGATAGGCCCCAGAATGTAATTGCAGATGAGGCCAAACACTAAATAAATGTTTCCAGCTTATATCAATTAAATATCAACACAAAAGAGAACGGTTTCTTTTATCCCACCCTCAAGAGATGACCTTATGTTATGCAGCAGTTTTGTCTGTACTCTGGAAAAAAGCACAAGATGATTACTGAACAAATTTACAGATTAGAGTCATGAAAACAAGGATCAGTGGTAGAAAGCCATTTAGTTTGCCAGGTAAAGAAGAGTGGAGAAAAGATCACTGTTTTTAATATAGCTAAATGTAAGAAAACATGCCTAAGCCCCACTTCCAGGCTGGCAGCCTCTCTTGAAAGCAGGTAATCTAAAAGGTCACTGTAGAAAAACATTTGTAGGGAGCTTCAGGGAGATACTGTGGGTAAATAGGACCATGGAGATAATTTTGCTTTCAAATTTCCTCCAAAGCTAAAACTACACAAGTGAGGCTTTGGAAAATAGTCGACAGCAGCTGGTGACAGAAGCTCACACATTAGAAAAGCAAAACCAACACCTCCCCTCGGAAGCTGCCAAAAGTTTGATTGAAACAGAGGTAAGAAAGCATTTGGGCATCTCATGTGTTCCTTGAAGGTCAAATTGGACAAAACTCAGGTATATGAGAGACAATTAGGAAGGAAATATGATGGATGGCAAGTCTACTGACAGGTCTCTGAGGAACATCCTCATGTGCCAATAACAAACATTCAAGCTCTCCTGCTTCTTCCTTTCATACCTTGTCTTTGCAGATCATGCAGAGCATTAATATTTCTTTTTCCTGAAGGAACTCTCATATCTTGAAAAGCTAAACTTAAAGGGAGCTACTCACACCTGGTGCAACTAAACATTTTGCTTTCTTCAGCAATGAAATCCCACTACATGTCACAGCTTTTTTCTGAGGTGTAGAAATGCCAGGTAATGCTGTGATCTCACTCACCTGTTACAAAACCTCTTAGCAAGCACTCTGAGATCCCCCCAGCCACTGAGAGTCCCACAACAGGACTTGACACATACCAAATGCACCCAGAACATCTGCTGCTTTGTTCTGACCATAAATATATAGAAAGGAGAGGAAGAAAAAGCCTGCAGAACAATTTATTCCGGATCTCTTTACATCAAAACTCACACATCACGCTCCTTCAGGTAATTCCTCCCCCTTTATATAAAGTTGTATTTAGATCATCGCACGCAGCTGAACGACTCAAAGCCTGAAACATGAAAGCTCAAGGAACATAAGAAGTGCATGAGGACACGTAAGGAGCACGACAGAGCTGAGGAATTACAGCCCTACCTCCCGATTCCCAGCCTGGGGTTCTTGGGTTCCCACCTGTCAGCCACAGCCGTGTGGAACAGCCCAGCCGTGATTCTGGCCTCGACCAAGCCAGGTACAACACCTCTTCAGCAGCTGTGATTAATCAAGAGCTCTAACACAAGCTCTTTTAACCACACATAGGGGAAATTTCTGCCACAAGAAGTATTACACTACAGAACCAGCTTAGACAGCTCCAAGCCAAGTTTCTCCCAGCAGAGCCCACCTGTCCACAAGCCAGGACCCAGCTGCAGTGGAGACATTTGTGGTTTCCCTACCTGCCACCTGCCTGCCTCCACCATCAATGTACAGCTTCAAAGGGACACTCAAAAGAAAGCTGGAGGGACAGAGAGGAATCAATGGCAAAACAAAACCAAAAAGCTTTCAAGTGTTTTGGGACTCTAGAAATGAGGGGGTTGTATTTTTAGCCTGCATACAGGCAGCTCAAGGTGCTTTTCTTTGTCCCCATGACAGTAGGTAAGTGAATACACCTGCCTTGCCTCACTCCCTGCTGATGGTAAACATGAGGTCTTGCATTCAGGTTACAACATGGAGTTACTTCAGAGCAGCCCTGTGCCAAAATAGCACATTTCTGAGGGATGCAAAGGTATTCAATAAAAAGCTTTTAAAGGCATATTTTTAAACTTGCAGCAGGAAAGCTTTTCTGTGTCAAGACAGTAATTCTTTTAGCAGCATTGATCAAAATGTCATTCTTTTATGAGTGTACAATACCTTTTAATGGCATACAACAAGCCATTAGGGTTCTACACCTCCGTGCAGCACACAGCTTACTGGAAAATCAGGAACACTGGCCAAGAGACAGCCATTGGGTTTTATGCCTGTATAAAGGCAGAGTTTCTTCCATTCTCCCCAGCTCTGCTACAATCAAATACATACGAGTGAAGTGACCCAAAAATTAAGCCAAACTTCTCATCACTTCTATAAGAGCTATTTTCCCACACATTTCCCCCAAGAAATACCTCTCATAAACACAACAAATATTCTGGCTTTCCAAAGTGGGATTCTATCACCAGGATCTGATCTGGCTCTTTGTTTTCCACACCAATGATCACACTTACCCCAAATCAGCACTGACTGAGGAATGAGAGGGGGATGAATTGCACAAAATGGGTTTGATTTTCAGAAATGGGAAGAGGTGCCACCTGCCCTTTGCTAACACTGAGGCCTGGTCAGAATCCATCTACAAATCATCCAATTCTTTTCAAGTGCTCCAACCCTTCAAAGGGTGACAGCACTGGTGATTGCATTTGCTCTGCTTGAATGGAAGACCAGCATGGGCTTTCTGGATACATTCAGCACTTTACAGCCTGATTTTAGTTACAAATATCAACAGGAAAGGGAATGCTTTCTGTCAACCTACCTTCAAGGCTTTTCCCATCAAGGATAAGAGAATATTTATGGAATTTAATCATTACTGTTAACTGAGCAGTGGCAGCAGCAAAAGAGCTTTATTTCACTATCTGAAATTCTAAGGGATAATAGCAAAGTCTTCTCAGCTACTTCTGAAAGTGTAAAGCCATCAGTATAAACAGATAAAACTACAATTCCAATAAAACATAAGGTAAAATTGTAAATCAAAGACAGGAAAACTGACTAGAAAGAGGAGACAGAAAAAAATTGAGGTTCTAAAATCAAAAGCTGGAGTGAAATTAATTACAGTTAAGAAAAGTTTAAGGGGCTGCTTGTCTCTTACCTGTTTAGAAGCACCCTTGTCCCTCTGACTTCCAGCTATGAGATACTGCAGTGAGTCTCCTCAGTCACATCTAGAATTTCAATTCAAAGAGAATTTTTTAATTTTACATAATTTTTATAAGCATACATAAATCCAACTCAAACAATACAATTTATGCTCCAGAAGATGCCATTGTCTCAGTCAGAACATCAGAAAGTCAACGGTGCTCACATTTCCCCTGCACTCGTTATTAAACATACAGTCACAGAGAGGTCACGCCCCGAGACCAGAGCTGTGCCACATGGTCCAACTGATAACCCAGACCAAAACTGGCCAGAATCAGAATTTCATAGTTATCAGGGAATGATTTCTCACTATCACCTACCAGAGAGTTCAGAGTTGCTTCTTTGTTGTTGCAGTCAAAAGAGTAAATGCACATTCAAGCACACGTTCGGGGATTTTTAAACAAACAGATGATTTCTAGGTTACCTGAAGTATGACAACTAAGAAAACCTGGATTTTGTGGTAGCAACTAATTTCTCGTTGACCTACACTAAATTCTGTGCAATAAATGCTCTGGCACCATAGGAGAGCTGTTCCTGTCTTTTCTCGCCTAGAGCTTGATTCAGTAAAAGCAACTCCCTATTTCTCTCTCTCTCATCAGTGATGTAGAAATAAACTCAGGTTTTGAATTAAGGAGGTCAAACAGGGCACCCGTAAACAGGAACTCAACACATTGAGCACTTCAGCTTCTATCAGCTCGATTTTCACTTTAAATCTCCATCCCTGATGGCTTTTAATAACAGGTTTGGAATAGTTTGTCAGAAAATGTATAGATGCATTTCATCCCCCTTTTCAGCAAGGAATCAGACGGGATGATGTATCCCAAAGTTTTTGCAGAACAACCTGCCTAGAGAAAGTTTTGCACCCAGGTGTTAAACCCAATGACCACTGTGACGATCCCCACAGTGGCTTGCTGAGCTTTGCCTCGCAGCCCACCACTCTTCCCTACAAAGACTTCAGGGAACTGCTTGGACAAATGGGATCCTCCCGAGCACTAACCTGGTCCGCAGTTTGGCAAATGCCCATTTTTTTTCAGGACCCTGCAACGCGGAGCCTGTCCCATCACTTCTCCCGGAACGGCAACGAAGGAGCCGGCGGGAGCGCGGCCTGTCCTGGATTGGGAGTGGGCGGCACGGGAGAGGAGCTCTGCCTCCCCCCGCCCTCCCGGGACAGGAGGGATG